TGTGTAAGAGCAGAGCCAGCAGCTGGGTTTGATTTGGTTGTTGGGATAGGACATAAAAGTGCAGGCAAGGGAAGGGAAGCATCCGAGCTGCTGGCCTTACAAAAGCTCAGCTGCTGAGACTTGCTCTTGCAAAATGCTCTTTAATGTCTCATGCCCCGTGCAAACCAAATAAGCGTTGATGTAGCATTGGCCAAAACCCTTTTTTCAGAATGTTGGGGATTGCAATTAGAAAAACTGTTGGGGGATTGGCGTGACCTCCCTGCACATCCAGACTGCTCCCTGCTGTCCAGTGCCGCGTCCATGCTGCTGAACGTGCCCCGTTTTCCCTCCTTGCTACTGACTGATTTTTGCGTGGGTTTTAAGACTGCATATAAAGCTGCTGTATTTAACTGGTAAATACTGCACGTGCCATTTGCTGGACTACTAAACCCGTGCATTTATCCACACGTTCACGAGTCATTGAAGAAGAGCTGGTTGTGAGCCCCCAAGCCCTCTGTTTTCTCCCTCTGCCCTGCATCAGCCTCACGGGACGCAATGTGCCGAGGCTGCCTTGTGGCCCTGTGGGCTGTGCTGTGGTTTGTCCTGTTCTGCCCGAGCTCTGTCCTCCTGTCCGGGAAATGCACACTTTTCTGCAGAGACCAGCAGTCAGCGGGCAAAGAGGAGCGTTCTCCTTCCAGCGTGTTTTCCTCTGAGGAGAATATAGCATTATCCTTGTTAGGGCAAGCTAATTGGGTTTTGGCTGACTTCCATTTTTCAGCATTGGCATTTCATGTGTCACCATTTCTGCCTTTCTTCTGTATTTTATCCCTTCGTATAAACCCCGTGTTTATTTCTTGGCAATTACGCGCGAATGGGCCAATGTAGTAAATTGTACTACTATATCGTCCTCAATACATGCATAAATTTTTATTCTCCAAAATTGTTTATGCAAATAGGTTGATAAGAAGAGAAATATGTAGTGTGGTTCTTCTCCTTCGTGTATGTTGATGGGTTTCTGCAGCAAGCAGCTCTTCTCCGTACAGACTAAACAGCTCTAAACATACTGCAAAAGCTGATTTAAAGAAATTTCCCATTCGTATCCACGCTGCCGCAGCTCTGCCCCATGCACAGGGCCTTGGTGTTGTGCTACAAAATAACTTTGAACCAAAAACCTGCGGAGCTGTAAGCAGTTGTGTCGCAGGGGCAGGGAGGTGATGCTCAGGTCGGAGCCACCTGATCCTTCAGCTCTGAATGTGTGCTTCCAGGTTCCTCCTGACTCGAGGGCCATTATGAGTTCCTTATGGTGCTCCTTGCACGAGCTGTAGGATCTGCAGAAATAGGGTTTGCGGAGCTGGGCACCAGTACAGCTTCTGACCGGAGCAAGCAGGGGTGGGAGCCTGGGGACCCAGGGACGAGAACTCCTAGGGGGAAGCTGAGCGCTGGCCCCGGCATCACCTCGCTGTTGAGCAAAGCCCTTGGGAGGCGCTGAGTTTGCCTTTCCAGACAGCACAGCCTGGCCTCAGAGCCACTGAAGGAGCTTTATTGCTCTTTTTTTAAGATGCTAACTTGAAAACAAGGGGAAGGTTTCAGCCATTCGTCTTTTGCCGATGTATTTATCGCCTTAAAAGACTTAACCAGGTAGTGAAAAATTTGATAAAACATCCAACTGCATTAGTTTGAAATAACACTGATGCCTATCATTGGTTCGCCTGTTGTATGGATGTTGTGAAACTGTTCCAAGTCTTAAATCTTCCATTATCTGTGAAATAATCATAAAATTGTTAAAACTTCGTCTGTAAATCCTAAGCAATTGAGGCTCTTCTCCCCTACCCCACGTTAGTCTGGTTTTTATTCCTTAGCAGAAGTAATTGGTTTTCATGACAAGAATAAAGGATGGTTCCCATCTCTTTGTTTTTTATTGCTGTTGTTTTGCAGCCCCACAAATATTTAATAGTATTTAATCTGCTTTTGTAACAAACCCCAGGCAGCCTCCATCCAGCCGCTCTTGCGGGAGCTCTTGTTGTGCAGGGCTGCAGCAGGCGGTTCGCAGCATCAGTAGCTCTGCAGTGTCAGGAGCTGCAAGTTTGTATATTGAGCCCAAATGAGATGGCTTAGAATCTCCCCTAGGTGCCCCAGTCCACGTTCAGGACACCTGTGGAGCAATGCGAGTGATTGTGCAAGCCTGGGGGGTTAAAACCAGATTAAACCAGAGCTCCATCATTTTGTCCTCAACATTTATTCTGAGGGGATGAGGAGGGGGCAAATATCCCATTCTGCCACTGACCAAACTACCTCTCCAAGCCTCACCTCGCTCAGAAGCACAGCCCAGAGGCTGCGGGTCTGAGCCTGCTGCACTTGGGCCACCTGCGAGCTGTGTCCTCCCTGCTTCTGCTGCTTGGCCTCCGGGAGCCTCAGGAGTTTGTGCTGCCTGGTGGGGTCTGGGGAAAAGCAGAGCTTTGGTGCTGCTCGAGGTTTTCTCACACAGAGGCAGCACCCAGTGCCACGTTCCTCAGTGCTGTCTGCTGTCAAATTGTGGGTCAAGAACCCCCGATGCTCCGCATGTTTGCACTTAACGGGGTGCTTCTGGTTTGGGAAATACGGGTGCTTGTGTCTGCTGGAGGAGTCAGGGTGCCTGCCCCCAGAGCTTCTGACAGCACAGTCCGCTTGCAGGAGCACTCTAACACGTATGGCCAAAATCGCCCCACAGACACTGGTGTGGGTGGGAGGTTCTGGGTTTTATCTCCTGCTGTTAGCCTTGTTGAAGGTCACTGTCTCCACAGATACCACAGTGAGATACAGCCATGGCAGGGCATGAAGGGAGTAGTTTGTTTTGAAAAAGGGAAGCAATACAATTGTGTCCTGATTTCAGACTTTGATCCCTGTGCAAGACAGCTTTTACCCCCAGGTGGGCAGCGGTGCTGTTCTACTGGGAGACTCCGTAGAGGCACAGATCTACACCAGGGTTTGGGCTGGGGATGGCAGCTGCAGCCTTGTGCCAGCTGCCCTGGTGGCACGAGCACCTCTCGTGGCTTTGGCTCTTGCTCAGCCTCTCTTGGCTGCAAGGTTAAGGATTCTTTGCAAGCTTCCCCTTCCCTCCTGAGATGAGAGCATCCCATGGGTTTTCAATGAAATGAGCTTTACAAAATTACCTCTTCAGCTGGTTCCAAGTCTCAGCTGTGGCTTTATTCTTTATGTAGAAGGTTTGTTAGTTGGCCTTGAGTCTATCTAGGGACCCATCTGACGAGTTAGGAGCTCTGAGCATGTCATGGGAATAGGCTCAGCGACTTGCTGTGTGCTAAGCAGCTCTGCTTCATGCTGCCTGTGTTACAGGCCGTGTGGCTGGACCCTGCAGAATTTTTTGCCCTTAGTTCATGTGAGAATTTATTGATGAGCAGGAGTGAATCAAATCTGGGGAGGGCTCTGATGCATGGTCTGAACTTGTTCAAGTGTCTTCCCTTCAGCCTCTGGCTTTTGGCTTATGATGTTTCAAGACAGGCACTGGGGATAGAAAGAGAGGGATGGGAGAGCAGAGAGAAGCTGCAGAGGAGTGCCGTGGGCAGAACAGGTCCAAGCCCCAGGTCTCTGCTGGCTGCAGAGCACCACCGCCTGCCTGCAGCACTCCCAGGCTGCTGTGCTGGGAAGGGCTGCGAGCGGGGCTGCAGAAACCTTGCTCTGGGATGCTCTTTGTGCCAGTAAGGTTTGAGTCTTGGTAGTTAGGACTGCACCGGAGGGATGGGAGCTGGGTGACTTGGCCAAAGTCATCTGGCACCTCCCATCGGGAGGGAAGCTCAGCTCTCCTGAGGCTGGTTCTGTCAGGGACCTGTCTGCTTTCCCAGCAATGTGTTGCCTCCTCTGCTGTTGCTTTATTTGCAGCCGCTCACATGGGAAAGGACGTGTTGCCTTGTTTAAATGTTAGCATATAAAGAATGAGCCTTGGGCGAGCATATTTACAGCAAGACTCCTTCCCGGCTGTTCTGGCTCTGCAGTCGCACATCTCTGCTCTGGGTGAAGGACTCCTCCTGCAACAATTTGCTGCAATTACACAGGCAGCAAGAGATTAACATTGGCAATGTTTGATTCAAAGTTTTGCAGGTATCAGCAGTTTTTCCAACCAAAAAAGCTTTTAGTTCTTGGGCAGAAAGTCAAATGCCATTTAAATGCATAACCATCAGGTTTCGAAAAAATCAGGGAGCCAGTATGTTTTCCCTCTTTCTTTGGATAAGCTCTCAGCTCAGACAAATCCTAATTGAGGATTCAGTCAAGACTGCTGCTAAATTAGCAGAGCAGGTCTGTGAGACAAACGCAGCTTCAACTTGTCAGAGTAAGGAATTCTTAAAATTCTTGTATCGAAAGAGGATTCGTGTCATTAAACCTTTTTATCTTTCCCCACTCCCGAACACAGCCCTTCTGCCCCTGCCTTTCATCAAGGGACACCTGGGTATTGGGCTCAAATTTATACATTGCTTCCAGGACTCCTCCAGTTCCCCAGATTAAGGTGTCTAAGGTATAAATGACAGTGCACTGGCAAGTGCAATTGCACCTGAGAACTGGGCTTTGGGATGCAAAGTGGGGCTGAAATGATGTTGGGATCTGGTACTTCAAAGGATCAGTCAAGCCACCAAACAATCGAATCTTCATGAAGCTTATCTGCTGGTAGACAGCTCTGCTAAATGACTACAGCTGTAAGAGAAGTGGCCATCCTGTTTCTGCGTTTGCTTTGTCAGACCTCATGGATGAAATGTAGCTCAGAAACAGTAAGCTCCTGGTATATGTCTGCCTGAAGGATTTCCTTTTCCTCTTTAAGAATCTATCTTAACTTCTGGATGGCTTCACCTTGGACATAATGGGGCCAGAAATTTGGGGAAAAAAATAAATAAAAAATCACCAGACCCACAAAAAAAATACAGGTAGGAAACCAATTTAATACACACCCAGCTTCAGCAGCTTGTCCCACCATGAATCACTGACATGGTAATGCTCCCTGCTCTGCAGCACAGTAACACGTCTCTCTTATTTTGCAGTTCAAGGTTGACGGCGAGTGGTGCACCTGGATCAACTACGAGCGCTTCCAGGAGCTGGTGCGAGAGCACGAGAGGAGTGGGGGATCAAAGACATTCACAGCAGCAGACTACACAGCCAGGACTCCTCACTGGGCGCTTTTTGGGTCCAGCCAACGGGGCTTTGATCCCCTGGATGTAAGATACCAGCGGAAGAGCAAAGCAAAAGACATCTCTGGGTGCTGACGTTAGGATGGGGCTCGCCAGTCTGCAGGCTGGCTGATGGATGAGCTTTGGTCTTCATTTCCATACTAACACCCATATCAAATCTGTTCACGTAGACTTTCTGAAGTTGAATATTGAGAAGGATGTTGAAGTCTTTGTTTAACCCTTCCTTGCTGTTTTTAGGGCTTCTTGGATGGAAGTATTTATAACACTTTTTACCTTGTACAAATGCTGCGTGAGAGCAATGTGTCATCGTTGGCAGCGCCATCGGGGAGGCCGCGTTCATGATCTCTGTGGCTGTGCAAGCTGGGGTTCAGGTGCGGGGGGGGTGGGCGTTGGTGACGAGTCATAAGGGAGACCAGGGGTGCACCCAGCTCGGCTGCAAAGTGTGTGGTGTCCATAGGGGTAAGTGTGAAGGGGATTTAGGCACTGCTGGCTGGCTGGGTCTGTGCAGGTGCGACTGCAGGCAGATCTAAAAGCCCCACTGAAGGCCTCATTGTACCAACAACTGTACCTTTATGTGTTCTGAACGCCTGCTGTCTGCTGAAAGACCCTGTCTGCTGCCCAAGGTTCAGCTTACTGGGGATGGTGTAAGTAACAGCACCCCTACTAATGTCGTGTGCAACTTCTGATATCTGTCCAAATGATTTCCAACTCCATGGTTTCGGCAATGTGTACTTTCCAAGCTGTTTTACTCCAGTCTCCCAGCAGCCTTAACCAGCACATGATCCGTCAAAGCCACGCTGTGCTCATGGAAGGATGCCTTTGCTCCACCTGTGCAATTCACCAGCCCCTTGTGGTTTAAGCCAGCGGGCAGCTCAGCACCACGCAGCCACTTGCTCATTGTCCACAGTGGGATGGGGAGAGAATCGGAAACAGGTAAAACTCATGGGTTGAGATGAAGACAGTTTAACAGGCCAGAAGAGGAAGGGAAGATAATAAAGGAACACACAAAACAAGTGATGCACGACACGATTGCTCGCTGCCTGCTGACTGATGCCCAGCCAGTCCCTGAGCAGCAGTGGCCCCTCCAGCCAACTCCCCCTGCTTAATTGCTCAGCATGACACCATAAGTTATGGGATATCCCTTGGGCCAGTTTGGGTCACCTGTCTTGGGTCACCTGTCCTGGCTGTGTCCCTTCCGAAGCTTCTTGTGCACCCTAAGCCTTCTTGCTGGCAGGGCAGCATGAGAAGCTGGGAAGTGTGGCTTTGTGTAAGCACTAAAACTTTGGTGTGTTACCAACGTTATTTTCCTCCAAAGTCCAAAATATGGCACCATACCAGCCACTGTGAAGAAAATTAACTATATCTCAGCCCAAACCAGGACCCAGCATCACCACTGGTTTGAATAGGGGTGCCAATCTGATGTAAGTGAAAACCCAATCCAGTTGATTTCTTCTGTGTCAAGAACCTACTTCTTATCATGGAGTGGTGACATCCAAGCATGGGGTACACTGACAGCCACAGGGGTTGCCTTGCACTCTCTTTGGAGGTACTGGGGTCTGGCTGGAAAAATGCGTTTAAATGAGAGGGGAAGGGGTTTGCTGTTGGGAAGATCACTGCTCTCACGTGCCTTTCTATTTATGCAATACCCATGTCGGCTGCAGTCTCAGTGTGAGCTCTCACTGATGTGTTAGGAAGGACTGGCATGAAAATACCCAGGGCAGACCTCACTGGGGAAGCACCACTGTGGTCAGGCTGTGTGTTCAGTCCCTGAAGGCCTGAAATAGCCCCAGACATCCCTGATGCCTGCTGGCTGCCTGCCACAGCTCTGCCAGACTTTTCCCCAGGGGGCAGGAGGGCTTCCCCACCTTCTCCTCCCACTCCGTTGCGATGTGGGGTGGTTGCAGTCCCCGCTTCCTCCAGCAGCTGCGTGGTGGAAGCCTGACACTGCTCCAGCTGAGGAGCCTGGCCAAGCCAGCTGCAGAAATGTGGCTTGAGTGGAGACCCAGAGGTGCCAGCTGGGGATGGGAGAATGCAGCCATGCTCCAGCATCTGCATCCCCGCCGGGCTCCAGGTGCTCGCAGTGCTCCCACCGCTGCTGGCTCCACAAGCGCTTGCAGCCTGGGATCCGCGGAGCCCACGGTGTTGTCGATGGGTGCTCCTCAGATTGTGACTGTTTTTAAGATTACCTCATTTCTTAAATTGTTAAAAGTGATTCTGAAAAAGAAAGAAAATAAAAAATAATTTTCCCTAGGGCACCTTTGTGTGTCATAGTCATACAAGACTCTGTGAGAGGGGATGCTAACAGGATTTTAAGGATGTGAAAAGCACAACAAGTGTTGCAGAACATCTTTTTTCTTGAATCTTTTTTCTTGCACAAGGAGCAGAAGGGTTAGCCCACGTGCCTGTGGGTAATGGAAAGGGCTTGGTGGATAGGAAGCAGCTCCAACAGGCCCATCGCGGGTTCTGCCCAAAGCACTGAAAGGAGGTTGGAGCTGGGGAGAAGTCACTGCGCTTCCACAGGGACACAAGTGGCACCTGCAAGCCGTGGGCAGGTGTGGGATGTTTTTAAGCCATCTCTGTGTCTGCATATGATGGAAACCTGGCGTGACAACCATGCTGGTGTGCATGCACTGCACCACCCAGGTCTGGACGCAGGACTCTAGCAAGCCCAGGTGACTGTGAGGTGTCTGTGCTGAGTGACTGCATCCAGCTGGAGGATCCAAGTGTCCCAGCCAGGCTGGTGAGACCCCTGCCCCAGCCTCTGTGTGTTGTGGCCCATCCTGAAAGCTGCCCATGGGTGAGCCAGGCTATGGTCTGCTATGATCTGCTGTTCTCAGCTGCTGGTGCCTCTTCCTAGCTAAGGGTTGTCCGCGTGCTGCTTCCTTTACAGCCCTGCTCCTGGGAGCTGCTGAGCACCACGCTCAGCTGGGAGCACTCCTGCTTGTTGCCTTCTGCCAGAAGATGGTTTTGGCATGCTCTGCTGCACTGGTGCCTGCAGAAAACCTGGCCAGCTGGGGTGGGCTGCAGTGAAGGAGCAATGGGGCAAGGCAGGGGACATGGGTGACCTGGGGGCCCCCACCAGCCTAGCTCCTGCCATGCCATGCTAGGGGTCCAACCCTTTGAGCAGGGGCTAATCATATTTTCAAATCCAAAACTATCATGGGAAGTTTGTCTTTGGGGCTTGGTTTCCTTAAGAAACTGGCTGGTGAAGGGCTGCTCTTCTTTCCTCTTGCTGGGGAATGATTTGTCATGCTCCCACCACAGCTTCACTACAGGCGCTCTCATACTCTGCTCAATCACTCCTCTGTTTTTGGTGACATTTGACACCATTTAACTTGCATCTGGGCTTTAGGGTGAAGGTTGGCAGCACTGGAAAGCCCGGGAGCTCTTTGCAAAAGTGCTCTGTGCTGTTTTCTGAGAGCCCTGTGCTCTGACTCCTGCTTCCAATGGCAGGGTTGCCATGTGAAGAGTATGAATTCTCAGAAATTCCCAGTGTTGGGCTATGTTCAAGTTAAAAATTGTTGTATTCTAGGCTTATTTTGCAGAACTAATGCAGTTTGAGTAAACATACCAGGGGTGGGATGCAGTTATCAGAACACAGTTGTTTAGAGGGTGCCGAGACCTCTCCAGCCACCAGCTCTGCTCTGTGAGGCTCCAAAAGACCTGGCTGATGTCCGCCAGCCCAGGCAGCTGTGGCAGGGCATTTCCCAGCCCCTGCATGCACATTTAGGTAGTGATCTTCCCCGATTTCTGCTCAGCTGTGCCATTACGCTCATCCTCATTCCTCCATGTGGCCTCTTGTAATGGTAGATCTGGGGGTACCTTCCCATGGCATAGGCCAGGGGAAGGGAAGTTGTGTATGCAATAAGATGCACAAGTATTTAACTGCATCCGTGTTACAAATCAGTGAATCCTCCAGACACACGTGTACCAGCTCTGGTAGAGGCAGCAGAGGGACGATGTGGTCCCACCACTTTGCAGGCATGGGCTGTCCTTTAGCAGCCTGCAGCTCCTTCTGACCGCTCGTAGGAGAAAGAACAGCTTGTGAGACGTGTCCCCAAGCCACCAGCCTCCTGTGGGTCACTTGGGTTAACTGAGGTCTTTTAACAACTTCAGCAAGCCACATTTATTTTGTGGGACTCAAGTTAACCCCAGGGCATCAGTTGCATGTGGGTGCAGCTGGAGTTGGGCTGGGAAGTTTGGTGCCCACCATAACACACCATGTTCCCCTGGGTGGACACGAGCTCTTCTGCACCTGGTCCTCCTTCCTGGGCCGGATGCCTCCCTCCTGCATCCACCTCCCTGAGAGCTGAAACAGCCGTAAATCACAAGCGGTCACCACAGCCCCTTCCTTGTCTGTGCTGAGCCCTGGTAGCAGCCGGCACTGCCCTGGCAGCAGTGGCTTCTGTGCCTGAGGAGCCTTGGGGCTGCGTGTCACCGCCAGATGCCTGCTGCCCTCAACAGCTGCTGTGGTCATTAGCACTTCATGTAAAACGCCCCATAAAACCCCCACAGTTCCTTCCCTTGGAAATCCTAGGGGAGCCCTAAAGAAAACCCTGTCTGCGTGGCTTCTCCGTGCTGCAGCATCCGCACTGTTTCTTCTCCCAGCCCCTCCTGGGACACGGGAATTGCTGCTGTCCCCTTTATGCATTGCTTCTCCACGGGCCATTTGGCTGAGTCAAAATAACAGCTTGTTCCTGCTGTCAGAGGCCTCTCCCTCCTCTCTCCGGTGTCCCCACGCTCCCTCTGTCCTCTTTCTTTGTCCCCATGCTCCCTCCATCCCTCTCCCTCATCCTCCTGGTGTCCCCGTGCTCTGGAGCTCTGTGTTTCCAGGTCTGTCCTGGGGTGCCGTGGAGCTGGGGCTGATGGAGCCACTGCCACTAGGGCTGGGAGGAGGAGGTGGGTGACCCATGCAGGGGGCACTCAGGGCTGCAGGTCCCCAGAGCCTGCACCAAGGCCACCACCGCAGTGGGATCCGCGTTGGGACTGGTGCTGAAATGTCTCAGAAAAATTGTGATTTCCCCTGCTCAGAGGCTAGAGGGAAAACACGGCCCCAAAAGCCAGGCAGGGTGGTAAGTGACACCGCATCACACCCGCTTGTCCCTTTTGGGCTGTCTAACATCTGGAAGCCGTGCAGAGAGCAATTTGGGCAGGATTTGCTCCCACAATTACACTTGCATTGCCTTGTGCTTAGAGCAAATCTTTCAATGTACGTACCCGAAAGCAATCCTCTTACGCGAATAGCTTTCAATTGTACAACTTAATACAAATCGCCGCCGTTTCCAGGACGTGCTCTGTGTAAGGCGCAGCTCAGCCAGAGCCGATCGCTGCCGGGCTTCACCTGTCAGCAGGCGGCGGTGGAGGTGGAGCTCCGGGCACCCCAACATCGCGGGGTGAAGTCCCTCATCTGCACGGGAACTGCACGCCCGGCCTGAAGTCTCTGCTTTTGGATGTAAAGCAGATCATCGCCCTCTGGGATGCTTCCATGGGCTGTGGTTTCTGCGTTTTCCCCAGCAAGATGTGTTGGTATGGGATGTGCTCAACACACTCTGCAAAAATAGGGATCATAGAATGGCTTGGGTTGGAAGGGACTTAAAGATCACTTGGTTCCCCAAGGAACTGACCTTGCTTTGGTTTGGGGGGATTTTACCCAAATCCAGGGCTTTGAGAGAAGACGGTCTTACTGCTTCAACAGCCAGCTTGGAGGCTCGGGAGGTTTGATCCTAAAGGAAAAGTGGGCAAAATGGATTTTAACCACTTAGAGCCTGGAGCAGAGGGGCTGTGGCTGAGTTTTGGGCACTGAGCCCTGTGCCCCAGCTCCTTCCCCTGGTCTGTCCCGTCCCTTCCCGGTGCAGGCTGGCATCCCTCCTGGCTGCTGCTGCTCCCTGACTCACAGCGTGAGTCATGCAATGGCTGCGTGTCGTTTCTTGAAGGGGATAAATCTATTTGTTTCCAAAAATCTCCAGCTGGAAAACATCCCCCAAACAGAGAATTGTCATCCATCAGCTTTGTCTTCATCTGGCTCCCATCCTAAATCATTTACGATGTTAGAGCCACTATCGTGCCTTGAGGGGCGAGGAAAAAGATGTCTGAATTAATTGAAGGAAGGGCATCTTTTTCATTTCATCAATTGCAAATTGAGTTGGGAGCTGGCAAAGGCTGCGGGCTTGGCGGGAGGGGCCCAGGCCCCACAGCAGGACACGTGCTGCTCCAGCAGCTGTGAGGAAGGGGAGGGGAGGAAACTAAACCTGGGGAAATATTTCAAGGAAGCCTTGGGTTTCTGGAGCTGACCCTCCTGGAGGAGGGAGCCCAACACTTCCTTCCCTCCCTCCCCAAACCCATCTTTGTCTCCATCCCACTCTGGCTGGCAAGCCCAGCTGCAGCAGGGGTGGAGGTGTCAGGGATCTCATTTCCAGCAGCGATGGGACCTTCAGGTGGCAGTGACACTCAGGGGGAACCCACACCAGTCATCACCAAAATCCATGCAGCAGCAACATGACTGAAGCCCATGAGAGCATTAAGCAGGAGCAGTTTCATGGTTATATATCTCACCAATCCCTTCCCCATCCCTGGTGGCTGCATCCCACCAACCACATCCCCATGTCTCCATCCCACCAGGGGCATCCTTCAGCTTTCTGGGGCTGGGCCACCATGCTGGGTTGTCTCCCCTGTGCTGAGACAAATCCTGCCCTCTGCCTTCATCCTAGGACAACCTTTGCTGTTATTTGGAAAGACTGAGGAAGACAAAGTCCTTCTGCCACTTGCACAGTGACCCCATGTTGTAAGCATTGCATAGGCTTTGCTCACAGGTCCTCCCAAAGGTGGTGCTGGGATGCTCTCCCATCCTAGGAGGTGCTGGAAAAAGCTTTCAGAAAGAAGGTGAAGGTGGCCGCAGCATGCTCAGCGGTGTTGGTACTGAGGAAGGAAAACTGGAGGTGCTCTGGGGCGGGAAAGAGGTGCAGGGTCCGTGCACCCCAAATCAGAGAGGCTGGAAGTTTTCTCTCAAATATTGGATGCCTGTGGGGTTATTTTGAAGTGGGAAACATTCTGGCCTCTTTTCTGAAATGCACTGGGCATCCTGCAGGGCAGCATCTTGGGCATTTTCAGGTGTGGTACCCACTGCCAGGAGCAAATGACTGGCTGACACGCAGCATCAGCATCCTCTCCACGAAGGGGAAGCCCCAGGCAGGGCTGGGGCTGGGCTGGGGAGGGCTGCATCAGTGCCCTGGTGATGCACAGAGGAAAATGCAGGGAGCAGTTTTATTTGGTCCCATGATTGAAAGTGTCCTCCTCAGATGCTGCTGTTCACATTGCACTGGAAACACTTTGCTGTCGCAGCAGGCATTTTTATTATTTTTACTAATTATTTTTTTTAACAAAAGTTTGCCGTGCATTCTCTGTGCTGTTCCATACCCCAGCTGTGACTCTCCCTGTGCTGCCTTCCACAGCTGGGTGACCACCACACGTCAATTTGGGGGGATGCAATGGAAAAGATGCCCAAAACCGCTTGTTTGGCACAATATTGTTGGCACAAGAGGCTTTGCTATGGCAGAAACAATCTCCAGCGGCTGATCTCTTGCCCCAGCTGTGGTGGGTTCAGGCTTCCAAGCAAACTCCGTAAAGCTTAGACCTGGTTTTCCAGGAAATTTGCATCTCCCAAGAGATATTACTACATTTTTTGCTGTTTCATTTTCTCCTGCACTTTTCCCCACCTTTTTATTTTTAAAGAAACAAAGTAACTAAAGGTGTTGTTGTTGTTGTTGTTTTTAATTTTTTCCTTTTTTTTTTTTTTTAACAATCTCTTTTTTTTGAATGAGGAAGGAAACTTCTCAAGGCATTCACAACCTAAAAATAAATGTCTGGACTGGAAGATAGCCTGGAATTGGTCTTTCCTCATAGGTGGTATCTGCTTTGCTGATCCAGTGTTTTCAGGCCTCCCCATCCCCTTTCAGGGCCCACTGGGTTGGATGGATGGGGTCGGCTGCTCCCCTGCTCCCCATCACACCACAGCTGGCGGCATCTTCATATGCAACTTTCTGAACCAAAGCCATACTTTTCAGGTTAGATCAAAATCAAAGAGAAAGCTTGCAAGGAGTCATTCCAATCAATACAACAAAACAAAACCAAACCCCTCGGAAATATTCAGAATGTCAACAAATGTCAACACTCACTTGAAAGAAATGTGGTTAACTGCTGAAATCCCCCAAAATGTGGTGATTTTGTTGTTGTTGTTGTTGTTTTCTGTGATGGAGCCAGCTGTGCTGTGGGTTACTCCAGAATCCACTCTCATCCCTGCTACCCAAAGCATCAGCTGGTTCAGCTCTCGAACCCAGCTGAGGACATGTCCCTTGTTTGCAGGGCGGCTTCAAAGCCCTCATGTGCCCCAGAGGGGTGGCCATGGGGGATAAGGAGTGCATCTCCTTGCCCCCACAAACTCCTGCACCCACCGTCTCCACCCTGCCACTGTTGCCCACGCTTTTCCTACAGCTGCGAGTTTTGGGATGCTGCTGCTGACATAACCCTCACTGCTGGGGCATCCACCTGGGAGCTTAACCCGCTGCTGCCTTGCTGGATTTCCTCCTCTTTGCCAGGGGCTCAGATGAGATCAGCTGTTTAAATCATCTTAGTGCTAAATACGTGTTATTTGGAAAACAGAGAAAGCATCAAAGCCGTGAATAATTAGCTGTTAAATGCTGCCTTTGCTTGCAGTGGATCGCCCCAGGAAATGTGAAGCTGCTTGTCAAATTATCCGCAGCCCCCTGAGCTGCTGATCTGTCATCCCCAAGCCTGCTTCATGCTGCTATTTCTACTTCTCTTCTCCAAAAGCCAAAAAGCCAACAGGGCTGGGGGCTGGAGACCCCGCAGGGGTGTTGACATGGAGCTGCTGGCGTTGGCGTCACAGGTTTGGGCTCTGGTTCCTGCCTTCCTGAACACCTGATACAAACACCTCTCCACGCCTATTCTCAGTTTTACTTCCTCACTTCTTACAGCTGTTATTCCCTCCCCGGCTGTGTTTGACAGCCCGCAGGGACAGGGTGTCCTGGGAGGCTGCGGCCTCGGCAGTTCCTGGGGTGCTCCTGCCTGACCCCTGTGGCACCCACCCAGCAAGGTGACAGTAACAGGCTGCTGTGCAACCCATCCTGTCCTGCTGGGAGCAGGTTTGGGGCTTTCAGACAATGTTCAGTGTTGGTTTATTCTCAATGAATGTACTCAGGCAGGCAGCCGACACCACGCAGTCTGAAACAGGAGACTGAGACAGGTGAGGGTACAACTGCCCACATGGTATCAAGGCTGTCCCAAATAAAAGCAAAATACACCCACTGGAGATTTAAAAAAAATTTAAAAAAAAATGGAGGTCGTATATCATTTCATTATCAGATATCATTACCCTGGCTATACGTAGAGACTGGTCGACGAGACACTGGAGAGCAGCCCCGCAGAGAGGGATCTGGGGGTCGTGGTAGACAGCAAGTTGAATATGAGCCAGCAGTGTGCCCTGGCAGCCAGGAGGGCCAACCGTGTCCTGGGGTGCATCAAGCACGGCATCGCTAGCAGGTCGAGGGAGGTGATTGTCCCGCTCTACTCTGCGCTGGTGCGGCCTCACCTCGAGTACTGTGTGCAGTTCTGGGCACCACAGTATAAAAAGGACATGAAACTGTTGGAGAGTGTCCAGAGGAGGGCAACAAAGATAGTGAAGGGCCTAGAGGGGAAGACAAATGAGAAGCAGCTGAGGTCACAGGGCCTGTTCAGCCTGGAGAAAAGGAGGCCGAGGGGGGACCTCATTGCAGTCTACAACTTCCTCGTGAGGGGGAGTGGAGGGGCAGGTGACCTATTCTCTGTGAACACCAGTGATAGGACCCACGGGAATGGTGTTAAGCTGAGGCAGGGGAAGTTTAGGCTGGACATCAGGAAGAGGTTCTTCACCGAGAGGGTGGTTGCACACTGGAACAGGCTCCCCAGGGAAGTGGTCACTGCACCGAGCCTGACTGAATTTAAGAAGAGATTGGACTGTGCACTTAGTCACATGGTCTGAACTTTTGGGTAGACCTGTGCGGTGTCAAGAGTTGGACTTGATGATCCTTAAGGGTCCCTTCCAACTCGGGATATTCTATGATTCGATGATTTAAAGAGAACCTGCAAGTCTTTTTTAATGTGAAATGGGCTAATTTATACAAAGAGAACTAGTTGTGGCTTACAGCTTCTATTTGCCTTTTTGGGTCATATTTTTGGCCTCAGATTCCACCTGCTGATGGCACAGCAAGGACCCTCCTTGAACGCTGACCATGAATCTTTGTTTTGACTCAGGAGCTTCTCCTGGAAGACCCCCATAGGCATTTGTCTTGGCAGCAGCACCTGGACGAGTGTCACCAGGGGTTCTTGCATGGGGACAGCTCTTCCAGCCTCCAACACCTGCCCCCATCTCCCCATGACTGCAAGCCAGAGAAGTGAAGAGCCAGGGTTTTGAGACCTGGCATTGAACTCGGACTTGATACTTGTGGCATTGATGGTGTTTGGCGTATTTCAGTGCAATGTGAGGTACATGGTGAGTATTCTCATGTGCTTCTTTTCCTTCCCAGCAGCCCACCCCATGAATGATACAACGCATCATCCCTGTATTATAGAAATCCAGTCTCCAGAGTAATATAGAAGGAAAAAAGTGGTGAGCTTTGCAGGCAGGGGCTGAGGCTGCAAAACGAGGAGGGCTGTGTTGGACTGGGGCATTAGCATTTTACTAATAAAATATTGCTCATTGGTGACAAGCTTACAGCATTAGAAGAAAAGCTGCTCTGAGCTCTGCTGGGCTTACGCAGATGGTGCCAAAATAGCTAATTTTGACTCCTAAAGTCTGCTCAGAACAAAGAATTTTGGTTTCTTTAAACAAATTAGCTATGAAAGCTGCTAAACACCTTGGAGAGTGAGCAGTGAGAAAGCCAAGCCATGAAAACACGTTAACAGCCAAGTTAATAGCCAGCAGTTTCGAGCCCTGCCAGGAGGGAGAGGATTTGGGGCTGGGCTTTGCTTCTGGTGCCCTCCATTCCTTTAGAGTCCCTGGAGCTGTGGGGCAGAAATGTCCCTGTCCCGCGTGAGCTGTCGCTGGAATCTGGCTGGGCAGCCAGGCTGCTGTGAGCCTGCAGCTTCTGCAAGGCCTGCAGATGCCGACCTGGGAAAGGAGAAAATGTGTGCAGATCAGTATTGTCACCTCCTCTGCTCAGGCACCGTGCATCACTCAGAGAGCAGCACCGCCTTCTCTCTAACATAAGTTTTGTGTGTTCTTATAATGTCAGGGCAAAGTTGGATGCTAAAAATCCCTGTAATAAATCCATCTGGTTCATCTCATGGAGGTGCCCCATCAGGCAGGTTGGCACAGGGACAAGCCACAGTGGACTGAGCGTGGCCAAGGTGGTCTCCTGTTGCTGGAGGGGGGCCCAGGCTGTGCTCAGGGACCTTTGTCCCTGAACTCCAGCACTGGGACTGAGCCTGTAGGGGCTGACATCGTGTCTCAAGCCTGGATGTGTCCCTCTGACATGTCAGGGTGGCCATGCTAACAACATGCTCACAGCTTAGAGGGCACAAAAAGGCCTTCAAAACATTTTTGGCTCATTTCTAGTTCCATTTGTTTTCAGGTGAAGGCAAAGGGTTCAAGGCTGCAGCGAGTTTGGGGCTCACCTTGCAAAGGTGCTCTGTGCTTGAAGCAAAGCCCTCCCCAGGATGGGGACCACTGTGTCCCTAGGCATCCCTGGCCCTGGAGTTCCCTGCAAAGTGAACTATGGCTGTAGAGCAGATGGGGACACTGCGTCTTTCCCTCTCCACTCTGAGTCTGCCCAAAGGAGGACCAGACGGGTCCCACCAGCCTCAGTGAGAGGTTAATGTGAGTTTAAAAGCAAGGATGTGGGTTTTGAACAGTAAGAAATCAGCAAATTAACAAAACGAGGGATAATCCCTGCTGCTGGGTTTCCAGGCCCCAATTCTGCACTGATCCTGGGCATGTGTAAAGACAGCAAGGTCCATCTGCCCGCTGTTTTTGAAGGGAGAAGGCGAACCCAGCTTGAAACCAGGTGAAATGGGAGCCGGGTCCCCGCCACCCTCCCTGGCTCTGACAGCCCTGCTGCAGGACAGGGCTTCATCAGGCAAGCTGGGCTGGTGGGTGCCCTGCTGCAGCTTAAGAACAGCTTCTCTCTACATTTTTCCTTTTTTTTATGTTTTCCTGAAGATTTCAGGAAGACTCGCACCAGGGATACCCACAGGGGCGGTGAGGGAAGCATGGCTGGAAGCATCGCGTGTTTGGGGCTCCCACAGCGCCATGCATGGGAGACTTGTGCTTAACTAAAACTACAGCAATGCAAACTCCCATAATTGGTTGGTAACATCAAATCTACAGGAGCAGATGTGCTTATAGGTGGTTGCAGTGTGTTTGCTGCTTCCCCAGCAGCTCCTTGAGGGCCCTTCAGGCGCGGAGCTGGCAGCACCACACATCCATCTCCATCTGCCTTCATGCGCTGCGTACAAGTTGGACATTTCGAGCAGCAAAACCCACTTGGATCCTGCAGTTATTTTCACATAGGGTCCACTTTTTGCAACTTGTGCTCTCCCAAGTGCGTGTTATCGGGTATACCCCGCAACCATGAAAGCCACTCTGCTAAGTGGAAGCTGCAGCGTAGCAGGTGATGGGCTCTGAGGGATGAAAACCAGCTGTGGGTGATTTCTGTACAGGTGGACCTGGTTTGCTGTAAGGACGGGAGGGCTTGGCAAGGTTATAGAAGCCACTGGGGCTGCCCAGAAGGAAGGAGGCTTGCTTTCAACTTCCAAGATAGTCTATTGAGCATTGGAGATGTGATACTGAAGGATACTTGTGGATGGTGCCTGTGGTGAGTTTTGCAGCCTGGTGGGGCCAGTGATGGTGGTGTGCTGCCCGTGGTGCTGCCTCAGGTGGGCTGTGCTGGTGGGTTTGTCAGTGAATGCAGCTGAGGGAGCCCTTGGCTTCATTCTGGGGGATGTGTGAGCCCAGGGCTGCCAGCAGCTCTTCCCTTGTTCTGGCGCTGTACAGCATTAGCAAAATTATTCTTATAATAGAAAATCAGGAAATAAAATAAAGGGGAGAGGTGGGGCGGACACACACCACTGGGTTGCCTTCTTAATCTGCTCTGGCCTCTTAGAGGCCCAAAAAATCCTCCCCAGAGACTTTGGCATCCTGGCTGGGCAAAGCCTCTGCTTTAGGGGACACTGGTGCATGCAGGCAGAGCTGCCCCTTCCCAGCAGCAGTACCCAGCCTCCAGGCTCTTTGCTGCTGGTTTGTCACCACACTGGGGTGATCGAGCTGGCAGAGGTTGAAAGAGGGACTTTGGTTGCATGAGACTCACAGGTGAATAAAACCAGCCTTTATTCAGGTTCTGTTGGGGCATCCCACAGCCTGTTGGGAGCCCCTGCATGGAGCAGGGTCCTGGGTGTGCTGCTCAGAGCACCGTGGGCTGAAGGGAGAGTGTTACAGCTCCAGCATCCCCTCTTACCAAATCCTTCCTCTTCCTGCATTAGACCCTGGCATGCTGTGTGCTGGGGGGCATCAGCACTCCCTGGTGGGTTGGCTGGAGCTGCCAGACACATGCTCTGCCTCCCTCTCTTCCCCCCCCCCCCCCCCCCACCCTGAAAAGTCAAAATCTAGAGGGATATCACTGTGTTCAAGTTCTCATTCAGCCCTCCCTGGCACTGCTTCATCTCATCCCACTGCTTGATCCAGGGGTTCATGCCCCTCTCACCTGTATGAGTGTGATGCCAATGGTGGGTTCTGTTTTTTTTTTTTTTTCCTGGGTGTGAGCAATCACACATACCCCAGGGGCTGGCAGGGTGTGCTGCCTGCCCCCAGTGATGCTTTGGCCAGTCTGGGGCAGCAGGGGCTCCGGGGGCTCTTGCCCTGTCCCCTTAACACAGGCAGAGGCTGGGCACGGGGCTGAGAGCTGCTCTGACAAGTGCAGGAAGGGTCCCTGCACTAAACTGACAGCTCTTGCAAAGCCTGGCCCAAATTTTGTGTCTGGCAACACATCAGTGCTGGCAATACTTTCAGCTGGGGGGGAGGGAAGAGGCAAAATTGCCAATATTTATATTAAAAGCTTGAATTTTAGACAATACAATTTGTAGGTGAGTGTTTCTTTTCTAACTTCTGTCTGGCCAGCCTGTCTCAGGTATTTATTTCCTGGCTATTACTGTAATAACCAAGTGCATCAAAACGATGATTGTTCATAATTGTAATCCTGTGAAGCTTCACTAAAAAACAAATGAGCTCTGTACAGCCAGCTGTGTCTTTATGAAGTGGTCTTGGATGGGTTTATTTAAAGCCGTTTTTCACATTACTTTTATAGCCGACCTCTTCAGAGTGAGGACGCAGTCAGGTAGATTTTATATCGGTGCTGGCAGCTGCTACCAGGCACCCAGTCTGACCCTGTGGGGTACTGGGCTGCCTTTGGAGGTGGCTTCATGTGTCCCCCTGATGGGAACAGAGCAGAGAGCAATGGGGCAGGGGTCCCCCAATTGCGATTGAAGTTGCAGATTAATTTGAGCATCGGTTTTGTTGTGAGGGGGGCGGGAAGCGTTCGTTTGCCAGATCCATGATGGACTGAGTCCTGTGCCGTACCTAAGTTCACCAGCACAGTGGGTATTCATTCTTTGGTTATGTTTCTCCTCCCTGTTCTCTCTTGCCTCCTCCAGGATTAAACAGCGAACACAGGGAACATCCAGGCCCTTTTGAAGGATCCTTGTAAAGCTCTGATCTCTTCAAAGCCCCTGTTTGATGTCTGCTTTAGAAGATGCTGTGCAGGTTTCCTGATGCAGCCTGTTGCAGGTGGCTGTCCGTGCAGTGCTGCAGGAAGGGGAGTTGCGGATGCTGGGTTAGGCACGAGCAAAGCCATCACCTTGTGTCACAACTGTTAACACAAGAAAAACAATAGGAGTCCGAACTTGGCACCAAATCTTAGTTCATCCCCAGCAGATGAACTCCATAAATCGTTTTGGTTTTGACAATCTTCTCTGGGAGGTCTGGATGTTCACCGAAAGGAGCCTGGCTCTGTCCTCTTTGCACCTTCCCATCAGGTATTTACGGGCATTGATGAAGTCCCCCTGAGTCTCTCCTTGTAGGAGAGGTGCTCCTGTCCCTTCAGCATCTTCATGTCCCAAATGCCTCTTTGCTGATTGGTTTGCAGCAGCAGGAGGAGGAGATGGAAAGGGGTCCTGTAGGGGATGCCTGCACAAGGGCTGAGGATGTGGCTGCAGGGCTGGGGCTAAGCATTTTGGGGAAAATCTGGGGTTTCCTTACAGATTCATGGAGCATTTATAAAGCTCCTGGTGCTCACTGTCCCTGTTGCAGGTTCAGCGCTGCTGTGATGCTGCAGTGCAGGCTCCTGACCAGAGAGCACCGGTGTGCTCCTTTCCTGGGTGCAATGTGCATTGCACCACTGAGCAGCATGTCCCTTACTGAAAGCCCCACAGTGACACGTGCAAACATTGCCATTCATGGTCTGAATCCCACAAAGAACAGCTACAAGCAGTGTAAATGATTTTCTTGCTCTCTTAACAATTTGTTAGCCTCAGATCCTAAATCTTGGCCTATGGATGAAGGATTGGTTTTGCAGGAGCACCTACAGCAATGAACTGCCCAACAGGTATACCAAATTTCAAAGTGACTTAAGCTGTTCCCTTTGTACATAAGTACTGAAATCACATTAAATGTCCTCGTTCTGCCTCCATTGTCAGAGGGTTCTAAGATACGCTTGGATAAAGCAACCTGGTCTGACCCCATGGCTGACCATGTTTGAGGGGAAGATTGGGCTGAAACTTCTGCAGGTCCCTGCCAACCCCAAATATCTGATGATCTTTTCATCCAAGGGCAGGGTTTTGCTGTGTGTCATCCAAAACAAACACCTCTAGTACTGAGCCCTCCAGATCACCACCAGGATTTGGCAGTGTTTTGGCTCCTTGTGTTGGGACATAATGGAAGGCATCGCAAGTCCTTCCTGCATCCTTCTGAAGCAAGGGCAAAGCAGGCTCTGCTTCTTGCACCATAGAGCTACCAGGAAAAAAAAACTATTTTTTTCCCCATTATCTTGGTTGGCTTTGGGTGAACTGGGGAGGAGGTATTTTTTTTTCTTTTTTTTTTTTTTTTGAATCATTATCAAAAATTAATCTTTTTCCAATTATTTCTATATTTAATCAGCAAATATCCAATTATATAGGGATAAAGAAATTATGTCTCCCTCAGCAAACCTACTTTTCTTTTTCCCTAAAGAGAGGAGAGGTCTTCCCTCAGGATTATGTGATTAAATAGAGGTTTAGAGGAGAAATCTTGCTTTGTTACTCACTTAATCTCAAATCCTCTCAGAAGTGAACCGCACTTTACAGATGCTGAGCAAGGGATCTGCAGGCTGATCACCTGCCCGGATTGGGCTCAACTGCCTGGATGCAGACGTGAGCCTCAGCCTGGATCGGCCCTTGGCAAAGGGTCTCTGAGCAGTCCTGGCTTCCTTCCCTACAGCTGCTCACCTCTGCCTTTATCCTGAGATCTGCTTTGAAGCAGCAGGATGGGTCCTCCCTCCTTTAGTGGGGTTTTGAGCCTCATGTGGAGCCCAAAGGCATCAATCACCTCCAAGATGTGCCCAAGCATTTCAGATGCATGAGGGCCTTGGGAAATACAATTAGATGTGGTCAATTCAACCCCAGAGGCATCTTGACCGCATTTGTCATCACAGAGGCAGGGAAGACCCCTCTGGCAGTGAATTTAAGATCTTCCATGAAGGAAGGTTGCCCATGGCAAAGTGTGGTGTCGATGCTCCCTGCAGCTAAGTACTCAGAGATCCACTTTGCCTTTGGAAGAAGGGGTGAGGTGTACATGTATCTCCGTGTTTTTCTCCATCACTCCTGGTCCTTTCCTCAGCCTCTTATTGCATCTGAAATGTCACCACACTGGGATGTAGAAAAACATTGGTTTCTGGGCACTGTGGAAGTGGTCTTGGTTTATGAAATCCAAAGCAAAGGGTGGATCCCCATTGTGTTTGGTGCAAGCATCATATTTTAGAGGGTTGAAAAGCTCCAGAAGCAATTTTCCCCCAGTGCTGACCCTAAAAGAGCAGAGCTGCTAACAGAGACAGTCATGGCTCGTTGGAGGAAAGGAGCAGCATGTGCTGCTGTGGGGCTGGGGGCAGATGTAGCAGGCTGGGGCTGGAGGAGGCAGGACCCCCTCACTCCTGGAAGTGCAGGCTCTGTCAGCCTACAGGCACCACTGCTTGTGGTGTGAGCAGCACAGAGATGCTCCTGCCCTGTGATGGACATGGAAACAGCTGGAACCATGGCTCCATACAGCTCTGCAAACCAAAATGGGGTTTGCAGCATCAGTGATGAGGCAGTGCTGCTTTCCTCAAAAACAATCCCTGACATTTTGGGTTGACCTAGCTGAAGTGATACTGCCACACCAGAACATCCCTTCAGGTAGGGAAAAGGCACAAGAGCTTGGAAAAATGTGGATACCTTCCTTATATATGTATCTACCAGCTCTAAAAGGCACAAGACCTACTGACTGACTCCAGCAAGCCATCTGAGCTACTGGAAGGCAGCAGAGCTGGTGGAGAGAGGAATCCACTGCATTAATTTATTCAGTACAGGTAAAAAGTGTCTGAAAAGCTGTTACACGTCTCCCCAGCAATAGCTTGGCGTGCTCTGCCTCTAAAAATGTTATGTGCACTCATGGCTGGATGACAAAAGCACTGAGAAGCACTATTCCTGTGTGCTCACCAGGTGAGAGCACAGGGGAGAGCAGCACCTGGGGTGAGCCCAGGGCCATGTCTGGCATAAGGAGGGGGCAGCAGCTCTGCCTCCTCTCACCAGCAAG